AGTTACAAACCTTGAAAGCTTATATCAACAGTGATAAACCCTAATGGGTTTATAAAATTGCAACGTATGAAATATGCTTTGAGGGTTTATCAGTTTAAAAGGTTTATGGAAGCGTTTATAACACAGAATAAACCCTTAAAGGGTATATGTGAGACTGTTATACCCTTTTGACGGGTTCATTACTATACGAATATTTTTTTCAGTGTAGAAATACATTTCCTCAACGATTTTGTAGAGAATTTTTCGCTCTACTTTTCGAGATGTTTGGCATCTCACACTCTGAAACAATTCCTGAGAAAATCGAAGAATACGATAATTCCAAAATTTCAGCTAAAAAATCGTTTGATCATGACATATCACGGGTGTCTCACCTATAACTACTCGCAGACATGCTGACAAGGCCTAATATTTTTATCAGAAACTTTCCAGCATTGTGCATACTGAATGAAAGAATAAACTCGTAATGTTCAAATTTTTATAGTTCGGGACTCCTCTTGAAAAGATATTGCAAATTCATGAACTTTCACTTAAATGAAGAGAATTCCCTTATGACTTTTCTGTATCGGATAATAATGCCAGCAAAGAGATCATTACGTGAAAGCACAATGCTTGGCCGAATACAACGATCAAATCATCCTTTTCACTAGTGCATGATTTTGTAAAAAACTTCATAAGTAAATTTTCCTTATTATCATAGATGGGCAAACGAAGTCTCTACCTTTCTACCCAGCACTTAATTCAAATTTGATATCAAACTGTTATCGAATAAAATCACCATCGACGATTGCACACCAATCTGGAAAAGGCTATTTTTTTTCTCTCTAGAAGACAACAATCATTATAACCGTCACAAATCAAAGTCCATTATTGTAATAAAAGTGGTCTTCTATCCTGGTCGACTTGTTTGGCTAAAAGCATGTATTTTGTTCTTCCACTTTCACTTTGTTTCTTATTCATACAACGATGCAACCAGGTGAATATGAATATTTGCATCTCTCTCGTTTTTTTTGCTTATTCATCACAATCGAACATCACTTGGAGTGCAGACTACTATGTTATTAATGGAAGCAAGAGAAAAAAGTTTGATCGACCCTTTTATTTCATTTAATAGGCAAACATCAATTGCTACCTCTCTTATCGATGCTTTCTTCTATTTCAACATCGCAACTAGGTGAATGTGAATATTTGCGTCTCTCTAGTTTTTCTTGCTTATTCATCACAATCGAACGTCACCTGGAGCGCAGACCACTATGCTGTTAATGGAAGCAACAGAAAACGATTTGGTGGACCTTGGTATTTCAATTAGTTGACAAACACAAGGGAGAAAAACTCATCGAAAAATGCTTCTTGACAATAAAATGTATAACCGGGGAAAAGTAGCGAATACCAAAATATCATGAAACTTGGCCGCCAACTACCAAACAAGAAGATCATATCGGAGCACCATCGCGAAAGTCTTTCTTTTCTGGTCGTATAAAATCAATAATAAGCAAAGACTCTGATCTGTATCGACTAATATGCATCTTCTCAGCCTTTCATCAAAACTATTACATTTCTTTGATGAAAAGAAAGTGAAAAAAAATGTCAGTTTTGATAATGAAACGGTCATTATGTTTTATTTATTTTGAAGTCATCAAGGGCGTTCGTAATTTTCATTTCGTCAAAATAATTAATTTTCTATAAAAGTCATTACATTAAAATCATTACCTTTCTTTTATGAGGGTGTGGGTGTGGTTGTGACTGATAGAGCTTTGGCTACCACCCACATTCAAACACCCACGCCCACACCCACGTCCACACTCACACCCACCAACACACACCCACACCCACCAACACACACCCACACCCTTGATCTTTTGCGAAAACAATCATAGCTCACCATCAGTTAAAACGAAAGCAAGAGCTGCACTGTGCTATTGCACATCCTAAACGTTCAAATGAATTCTCTCCTACGACTTATCCATTCACTCAATCATGATAATAATCCTATATACCTATAACAACAATACTTATACGATCCGACAACTGTTCCATCTATTCCGACGACGAAAAGGTATCCTTGCAACATTTCGACACCTTCCAAATTTAGCATACTTTCCAACGGGACACAGTAGATTCTTTAATCCTCGCATTCATTATCTGAATCCCAAAACCGCATCGTCATTCCATGCTTAGAAGTACAAATCCTACTGCCCGCCCTATGCATATAACTCATTTTGCCACAGAGTTTCGATATCGTGGTCTTGGAAAAACTTCGAGTACATCATATTTTCTCTTATATTTTATCATCATTTTGTAGCTATGGACAACTTGTATCTTTGTTAGCTATAGAGCCGCTTCGATGCTTGATCTGTTATGGGATTAGATAAGGAAAACTTCTTGTATTCCTAGCAGAAGTCTATTATCGTTAGACGTAGATGAAAAGTCGTCCAAGACACTAGGACATACTCTGAAGAAGTGGGTGGGATGCAAGGTGGGATGAGTCAAGTATATTTGATTTTTGCACTAGGAAGCGTGAAATGGAAGATGAAAGCGTTTTTTGAAGTGATTTTTATCTAGGGCAGTTTTGGAGACAAAGTGTTGCCCCTCTTTTCATTTTGTTGGTAGATTCGTTTTATATTTCAATACATCTGGTGAGTTTATTCCAATTACTAAATGAAAATGAAACTCCATTTTTATTTTTTGATTTGTGTGACATCGATAGTTTCGGTGAGGCTGAATCAATTTATTTAATTAAAATATAATTGTCTTTTTATTTTTAGATGAGAATTTTGGAAAATGATTGGTGAGCTACGAAAATCATTCGGTAATTATTTTGGTTGAATTGCTTATTATACATGAGTACATAATTATTAATTTTGATGGGTTAGGATTTGACGAAAGCTGGTGAGTGAAGATCATTTTTCGACAAAAAATTAGTTTGCTTCTTCGTATTTTGGATAGAAAAAACCGAAATGTTTAACTTCCTGATGGTTTGATAATGGTACGAAGAAGGGCACCTGGATAATCAAAGTTTCCCTTAATTTCGTGCGCTCCCGCCGTTTGTTGGTTGTTCTAGTTATTTCTGGGTACGGATGGATTCACAGCAGATCCTCATCGAATGTCTACGACCACTGTAGATACTTAATGCAGCTGCTAGAGTAGTGATAGCTTCCTGTATAGTCTAGCCTGGTAGGGCTTATTCTTTATTCAGAAACCTTTTCTCGAGTTTGGGAATGAGTATTTGAGACTTCGCTATGATGGATATTATGGGTTTTTGAGGTTTCCTATAGTAACAAAATCGGAAGCTTTCTAAGAAGTTTCGAGGATACCTATTTTTTTTATAGTGTACTAATCAGCTCATGCGCTGTAAAATAGGAAGATACCAAATCGAACTATTTTTTAATGAAAATAGAGACTTTAAAAAAAGTTCCGTTCAAAATTCAGCATGTCGCAGAATGATTCTGACTGATCGAAAAAGCATTTTCAAAGCTTTTCTAATTTGGCTACAAAACCTTATATGCTTCGGAAATTTGAAAAAACGTAACCTTTTTAGGTTTCGCAACATGCTCAAAAAACTATTTTAGGTTTCGTAGAACTCCAAGTAGTCTAGTATCGCACAATTTTTCTACAATGTAACTTTTGAGTACAAATAATTGCAAGAAAATGAAATTGTGATTGAACGAAATACAGTTGGCTCTTGTGCTATATTACTTTGCATTGAATACTTCTCTTTCGTTTTACACAACTCTATATACCTTGTTATCATTAATTGAAAAGATCTAGTCAAGTTTAATGAAGCTTTCAAGCTATTGAAGGATATATTGTAATTTTAGTGATGATACAATCAATATGCATATAACTCATGAGTTTCATATACAGATAGAAGTGAAAAGGAAAAGATGAATGACAAAAAATCATGAACTGAACCATCACAACAAAGCAAAGCTCCTTGAAATAGGTGGTCAATGGCATATACTAAGGAAAAAACATTGACTTTGTGATGAAAATAAAATATTGAAACAAAAATATAAAGATGCATTGAAAAGAGAATCGATAGTTTCATCAACGAACATTGTTATTCATCTATATATATAGCAGATATAACTTTGCAATGATAACATTCTTATATACATTATTTCATATGGATGTGCAAGAAATTAAATTGAATAGACTAATAATGAATAAATTGATCAATGATATATACGATAACTAATGAATCTGTATATTCTATTGACCACTAAACCAAATATCATATGAAGAGCAAGAGTATATGAATAAAATTACTATACATGTTCATCATCTCGGATTATTCAATAAATAATATATTCTTGTTCCATTTTATTATGTACACCTAATCATTCGATGGTTATGCCATTTCAATGATTACACTCATCTGATTCTAATTGATATCGATGAATATTGAGTACAATAGCAAGCTAAAATACAAATAAGTTTTCTTATTGAATGAAGATAAATAATTTTTTCTTGATAAACAATTTGAATAAAAGCAAAGCAACAATAGCAAACTCGATTGCCAAATTTTATGCTGAAGAAAAGTAAGACAGGACACACAACATCGAAAATTGACATTATTTAATAAGTTGAAAAAGAAGCCTGGTTCATATTATAGATGGTTCATTAGAGTTCAAAACGATGGATGTACGCGTTGCAATAAACGTGAACAACGATTGAAGACGACGCGGTAAAGATCTACCAAATACCACACGAAAATATGTAGACCTGCAGTCAATCCACCATACAATCCAAGCAGTGTTGTGAATATGTAAACTACATTACGTTGTTCGATATAATGATATTGACATATTGACGGAGCACATATTTGAAAATATGCAGAATAATTAGCTGAATAATTCACTGATACTACGGAATACTCATCTAGAATGGATCCAATTGGAGTCGTTGGTAGAAACTGCGTTTCATTAAGATTAAATTTAGTGAATGAAATACCAAAAGCTCTATTTAGTTGATTGATGCAAACATCATCATAGAAACATTCAAATGTCGAATGTGAAAGACCACTCATGATTGAGCATCCAACGACAATGCCTAAATAAATGAAATATCAATGATAATCAATTTAGTGTTTTCAACTATCATCTTTTAATCATAAATCTTTCTGAAAATCTCAATAAGTCAATGTACAATGATATAAAGCATATGAGACAGCTTGATTAAAGTGTTTACCTGGAAATACATTTGAATTACTGGTCGAATCGTAATAAATAGGTATCTTTGTACAATTTGATTCACCACTTGGGCAAAAACAAGTACCATTGTTCAATGAAACTGGACTGTTACGAAGAATATAGTTTTCAGCTAAGTTTGAAAATTCTGTTTTCCAGCTTGTCATATATCGGTTATGAAATTGATTTGCTTGAAGCATATCAGTAACAAATTTATAAGCCTTATCTGATGAGATCACAGAACTCTTATCTATCCAAGTTATAGACAGGTTGAGCCATACATCCAATGTTTCTGAGGTCATTGCTTCAATTGATATCAAACGTGTATCAGTAAAAGTGCTTAACACTTGGAATGAACTTTGCATCCCGATCAAACATCGGTGATATAGGGTACGCATTTGTAGTTGTATGCGCTTCCAATCATATTCTTCCCAGAATATGTTTCCTGGTAAAGGTAACGTCACAAAATACGTTTGTAACATAATCTGAGAGCAGTCTCCTTGCAATGTAGATGAGAAGGATGAAAATTTAAAACAAGGAATAGCTATATTTGTACAAGCACATGATAAACTATCAGAATAATGGTTGTGAAGAAATGAAAAGTAAGTTTCATTTGGTGAATCTACGCTTATCCATACTGTCTGATGCTGAAATCGCACGAAAACTGAGACAATCACGAAAGATAGAACAAGTAGAACAATGTAGATTCTTGTTGTCAAATTTTGATATTCCACTTGTGGTTTTCTTTGGTACACATTCATGCGATAAATCCCATCTCGAACATAGGTAATAATCATTCTCCAACGTAGAGGAATATCTAAAATAATTCAAGATAATGAAATAATGGAAGAAAAAAGTTTCTCACTTCCTGTTTGCTGATGGCACAAATGATAAATCAGATAGATAATTTTAATGAATGATAGAACTGAGAGACGAAGAAGAACAGTTAGTCCTCCAATCAGACCAATAACTAAGTTAACACGAGCAATAGGATGTAATTCCTGATCTATTGTATAGGTACAGATCTCTGGCTGACATTGAGTATAGTACAAAGTATAATTTTCTGTATAGATCCATTGATTAACAAAAGCGACTGTCGTGGCAACTCCTACATAGGATTTAGACTTTACAAGGATGAGATCGTTTGGATTAAGTGCTGTTATATGACTCAAATCAATTGGCAAATAGATATTTTCATAACCATAAAGACGCTGATCAATTAGCATCTGAACACATGATTCATTGTAAAAACATTCTAGTGTGGAATAAGTAAAATCTAAAAGTTGACAACCAAGATATAGGCCAGGAATGATTTGATGCGGTGTGGCATTCGTTTGTGTACACGATGATGAATAGCAATAGAAACCCAATGGTTTGAAACATGGAAAAACTTGCCCACAATCGCATGGCAGATAATAAATGTTGTCAGTGTTACCTGGAGCATACTGAAGAATCCATGTGTTATTGATCTGCCTGGATATCACAGAAGGATCAATAAAATCGAATGAAATTAATCCACTCTGTTGAATACTTTGTTCCACTGGATATAATTTAGTCTTGTATATGTGCATAACCTACATAAAAGATATAATGATAAATTTTGCTTTCAGTAATACTAGAGTAATGTTATTTTGCTTTTCCAGATTTATCTACTTATATTTTGCCCTCTTTCTGTAGAAGATCAATATCATCATAGATATTTTTCGTATAGTAGGAAAGAGTGTCGCAGAGTACGGTGAAATCTTCCGATTTAGATGCTCAAAAGTGTAAGAAAACCTGCTTTTAAGGTCTCTTTTGTCATTGTATTCTACCTGGTTTTTAAAAGAATTTCCCCAATTTTGAGTTGTTTCATTGAATTCTTGTTGTGTAATTGGTTGAGGAGAGAAAAAGTGTTCTTCTTGAAACAAATTCACTATCTCAGACAAACTTATATTGGCTATGTCACAGAATATTTTAACATAATTAAAAAACCTCAATCCATTTTTGCGAAAATCAGTCCAATAAAATGGTGGAGTAGGATCGATGCTACCATTGAGAAATTTCATTGTCCAATATTGGAACCAACGATCATCACGAACAAAACTACTTGTACAAAATGGATGAATTTGTACTTCATTGGATATGAATGTTGAGCGTATTATCGATGAATAACGACATGGACATGATAGTTTCGATGAATACATGTCATAAAGATGTTCAAATTGATCCAAACTTGGATTTCTGACAATGATTTGTTGTGGACGAACTGTTGAACTAGAGTAAATGGTCAAAATGTAAATACCAAGCATCAGCAATATGCTATAGACACGAGTAGCGTAAACACCATGTTGAACATTGGTGAAAGTTGTCTTGAACAAATTCAATGTGGTAGTTTTGTGATAAATTAGCTTAACGGAATTCCATATACGATCTTGAAAATCTATGGAAAGAAAAATTACAAGAAGAAAAAAAATATATTGAAGTAAAGATTGACTTTACTTCTTTTTGGTTCATGTCCTTCATTAGTTTCTAGCATTTGAACCCGTTGACGACATAAACATAAAATGAATTTGACAAACAATGGGGACATTGTACGGAATACTACGCTAAGTCCACCAAAGACACTAGCCATGGTTGTAATCATGTAAATGAGAAAAAACCGTTGTACATATGAATATGAACAGGCTTTAGGTGCGCAAGTTTGAAAATAGGTTGCAAAATCAGTAGAGTTCTCCCAAGACTCAATCATTATATTATCAAAAAGAACACCAATAGTTGTTGTTGGACTGAATCGTGAAAAAGGGTTTGAAATATTCAGAGCTGAGACAGTGCGAAGAGCACCAGTCAACGAAATCACGATATCTAAACATGATTGATTATAAAAGCATTCCAATGTTGATTGAAGTAATGCATTTTGAGGTACACATCCTACTTGAAATCCTGGTACAATGAATAGAGGCGATGCATCAAGAGAAAAGACTTCATTCGGAATGATAGCTCGCGATTGATTATAAATGCCAGCAGGATAAACACAATCACTTGTACGATCACATAGACATGTTTCATTCGACATGAATGACGATCGAGTTAGGTCCACTTGTTGTGGATAAATGGCAGAAAAAGTTACAGAAATGTTAGTACCAGGAACACTTCTCGTATAAAAATTTGTTCTTAAGGCAGATATAAAACGATGTTCTTCAATAAAAGATGACACAAAATGATAGTATGAACCGAAACTGTCAAGTGTATTTTTCTGGAATTGTTCAATAGACGTGCCTACATAACTATTGAGTACATCACGTGACATTGCATTTGGTGACAATATTGTTGTTGCAGCAAATCCATGAACAGCATCGATTACAGCTTGACGTGATGTTCGACAGAGAACAGATAAAACTTGAAATTGTGCAGAAGCCATCAAACGAAAGTCAAGAGGATAGTAATTGCTTGTATTGGCATTGAATAAAGAGGAAAACCATTCTTCACTGACGAAATCACTTGAGCAAACTTGATGAAATTGAGAATTCAATGACACAAATTGTGAATAAGGAATCGATGTTTGAGTACAGCGGCACATAACTGTAGTTGTGTAAGTATTGATAAAATTTTCGAAATCATTGACAGATGGTGAAAAACTAGTGATTAAACGTGTTTGAGGAATAATACCAGTAAATGATAGTATAATTAAGAGAGCGATCGAAAGTGAGATAATGAGAGCACGCGTAGATAAGAGCTGATCAGTCAGAGCCAACTCGTCGTAGTCATCGTATAAGTTCAGATTTCTGATGAAATTTATAAATCGATTTTTGTATTGGACATGAGTACTAGTTTGGGTAATCATTGATCTAGAAGAGTATTTACTTACTACGCTATGTAAAACTTGAATATGTGTCGAACGATTGAAATGTTAAATGTTTAATCCTGCTACTCTGATGATCTACCAATCTACCGATGAAATCAACGTTAGTGAATAGTTGATTTCTTTTACGCTTCTTTAGAAAAGCAAGAAGTCATTAGAATTGTTGCTTTTAACAGTTATTCACTGTATATTCTGCCTTTTTTTGTCTCTTCTATTCTCCAAATGACTCCTTCGAAACATCAACTTTCATGATTTTTGTCTCTTTTTCTTTTCTCTCGTGTAACCGATAAAAAAAAACTTGTGTTAATATTGTTTTAGACATAACTGAATATAATGTAATAACTAGATGAACATCATTATTGTGCAGAGCGAGAGAGCTACGCCTCCAGTTTATGATATACTTTTTTTTTTTTAATTTCGAACTTTTGTTTGAATAATATTTTTCTACTCGTTCAATTTCTTTGCTTTAACTGCTCTTAGATAATTACTTCTTCTTTTTTTAATTATTTGGACTGACTTTATTCGTCAAATATTTTCATGCTTCTCAAAAAGTAATTACTTTTTTATTTTTACTTTTCTTTATTTGCACAGATGTTGTGCTATTTTTTAACAGAATCAGAAGCAGTTGATTGCACACTGCTCATATTTCTATGTGAATCAGTTAATTTTATTTTTAATGAAAGACAGTTCTGTTCCTATGTAGTGCTGATAAATCAGTGTCTTGCTTTCTGAAACCGTAGTCCATAAATTGTTGACAAAAAGTTCTTGTCAAATCTTTCATTTACTATATTACTTCATTACCTATGGAAGATAGTTGACACAGAGAACTATTTTTCAGTTAAGAAAAAGCTGATTATTATTTAGTTTTATTGCAACTCATTCTTCGTCATTCATGAATAACAAATCTTCTTTTTAACTACTATTGTTTACTAGTTGAACTTTCTTCTTTCGTTCGAAAAGATTAATTAATCATCGCAGCATTTACGTTTATTTTGTTACAGCTAGCATAATTTTTCCGTTTTCAATTTGTGAGAATGCATTGCTATCCCTGCTTGGAAAACAGCGCATACACTGCAGTTGGATTTTTAAACAAAATATCGCTAAACCATGCATGTAATTATGTGAATAAAAAGTAAAAAAAAACTCAAGCATGAATGCATTTCATTTTGAAATAAAAATTTGATTTTTAGTAACAATAGGAAAGTAATTCAAAAATAGAAGAGCTTTTTTCTTTCCTATTTTTTTCCCTGTTAAGGTATAGTTCAATGAAATATGAAGAATCTGAAATTATTGTGCAAAACAGAAACAGTATACCGCTTGATAAATTTAATTGTTTTCATTCTTTCTTTATTTCTCAGGAAGTTTGGAAACAATTATGTTTGTTTAATGCATCGTCCAATGCTGAATCTAATATTACAATTTTGACAGTATCATCAAGTGATATAGTCAAAAAAGTGTTCAACATAACAAAATGCGGCCTAACCGAAAAGTATTTTGACCACTGCTGAAAGAACATAAACTTTCAATAAGCTCATACTTTAATTTAAAAGTCTACGTTATCTTACTTCTCATATGACAAAGAGAAAACTTATGTATTGGTTTGGCCTTTAGTTACACTACCACTGCAAACAATCGGTTTTTTTTTCTCTGGCTACATATTCTTTATGCTTTGCCATATGAAATATGATTGAAATATACGGAATTAATAAGATATCTTGGCACTTCAAAATCGTATATAAAATACTTAAATGCTAATTTATCTGTAAAGTCTATTCATAATTTAGTGAGAGAGGATTGAATCAATACTCCTGGTTTCATTTTCAGTCTCGATCTTCGTTGCAGCAATGATCCCGTTCTGTCTAAATATGTTTGATCTTGCTCTTGCTGTCGTTTTATTTTAGTTTAAATATTGTTTCGAGATGTGAACTATGAGATACTCGTGTTGGTACGAAAGAAAACATGAAAACTACTTTGAATAATTCGAGAACATACTCACCAATATCTTACACAACCAACATCCTTTGTATATCGGATATTTGCAACCTACATCGACTTGTTATAATACAAGACCGAAACTCACCGAGATCGAGCTCTCGGTATAACCTTACAGTTCAGTACTTCCTTTGAGAAGACTTGCTTTACACTTAAGAGAAGGTCCATGAGGCCATCGAGGAATCGAAGCACTCGTCAAATTTTAAATTTTTGATTTGATGTTCTCATTTTGTTGAGTATCATCTAAAACCTATAAATTCAAATTTTTAGCGCATTTGGTTGAGCTCGTGAAAAGTTAGCTTGATTTTATTTTCAAGCACTCACGAGGATATGTGGAAAATATGACAAAAAATTTTCTTTATACATTTCAGTTTTTTTTTCTGACACAAAATTAACTAAAGTTTCTGTATCATATACCAAACGATAGAGCGTTGAAAGCTGAACAAAAATAGCTATTCACATATTCCATTCCAATGGATTAACTAGAGTTATTTATCAAATATTGTCAAAGACTGAGAATTTTTTACTTAAAAATGTGTCCATTTTTTACAGTATATCGGCTGCCGTACAATAGTTTAATTGGACCCCCATGCTGATTTTGAGATATATTGTACAGTTTTTTCTCCTCTACAAAATGGTAACAAAAAAGGTTTTAAACAAAGTTTTCGCTTGAGTGAAAAAATATTTACAATGTTGACCAAAAAGAGGGTATTTTTATGAAAAAATGACTCCAGGCGGTTTTTTTTATGAAACATAGAATTTTTAATAAATTATGAAGTATCTAGAGTATTCCACAGATAGATACGACTTTTTGAAGTTACACTTTGTTTTATACAAAATAAAAAGTCAAGGCTTATTGTCTTCGGTAGACGTAAAATCGATAAGCTTATCTACGTCAATCATGATGTCTTGCGAAAAAAATAGAAATTAGTGGATAAGTTACATGGGTTCATCTCATTTTGATACCACATAGACATCGGATTATATGCATAGCTACAGTCGTGTTTGAACACATATATGTATAGAGGAAGAAAAATTTTTATCTAGGGAATACCAAGGGGGGAAAAGCGGATCCTTGGATCCTTTGGATCCTCTGGATCCTTTTGGATCCTTTGAGATTCTAGGATCCAAAAGGATCTCAAAGGATCCAAGAGGATCCAAAGCATCCAAAAGATCCGCTTTTTTCCCCTTGAGGAATACATACAATAGATACTATAGTCGATTCTTTTCTTCATTCGTTTGTAAATCACGTATTCATTTCATAGTTATACATTTGTACAAAGATAAACGTCGAAACATTTTCCATACTATAAATAATTACTAAAATAAATTTGTCAATTATTATTATTATTAATTGATTAAGTAAGTGACATTTGATTTATTAGAGATGAATAGTGATAAATGTTCTTTTGCTGGGTGTTGTGATGTAATTACTTGTACGCCTAAGTTAACTTGGACGCGTTTAACGGAATTAGAAAATGAAAGTAAACTGCTTTCCTAATGCTGAAACTGCTTTAGAAGTAATACTTTTAAAAGCGGACTTGTTCTTCCAGCATAAATTTGATACCGATACTGCTTCTGTTTGTGATGCCCATCGTGACATACTCTTACAAAACGTTTATTTATCAAAAGGAAAAAGTAAATGTGATACTTGTTCGAATGTAAGAGAAATATCATCACATGTCAAGACCGACTTGCGGCATATTACCGTATCCCAAGCTATCACGTTATTCGAGGTTTTTCAAATGAAAAGCTCATACGGAAATCTGATTTGTCTGGACTGCCTTAAGGCAGTTTCGAAAAAAACTGATGTACCAAGAGAAATACTCCATAATGACGTCTTTGAGTGTTGTCTTTTTGATCCCGAATGAATATGTTGTTTAGAAGGTCCTATGGATAACAAAGATATTGATTATCAACCACCTTTTGATTCGGCAATTGGTGAAGAAAAGTTGAATGAACAAATATCAGCTTTAAATAGTTTTCTTTCTGCTTGTGGCAGTAAAAGAAAAGTGAATGTAACAACGTCTTATAAGGATCTATCATACCGTGTCAAATTGAGATACATAAGTTTAGTAAAATTCATAATGCGATCAGCTACATCGTTAATAGTATCAGATGATGCTGACATGCTCATGCATGATTTATTTACCGATGTAAGTAATGAAGATTCGACTATTGTTTTAGACGGAAATTTTCGTCAATTAATGAGTGATATTTCAGAAACATACACCAGTGCTGAATCGTGGCAATCAAGACGAGAGATTCTGTCAACCGTTGAGCCAAAGATACCGTTAAAACACATATAGTTGTTCATACCAGGTTTAAGTGAGAGCAGATTTTCTACAGCACGTTTGCATGCCAAAAAATATAGTGCTGGTTTCAGAGTTAAAGTAACAACAAAAGTTGTGCAACGATTTGATGATCATCAAATCGCTCACTTTGTTGATTTTATTGTGTCACCACATGTAAGTACCGATTTGCCTTTTGGCGAAAAAGTGTTGAAGTTGTCTTCTGGAATCGAGTTGTTCGTTCCAAACGTCATAAGAAACATGGGGACATCTCGTATTATCGATCAATATCTATTTTATTCTAAAGAGATGTGTTCTGATTTTGAACCACTCAGTGAAAGTAGTCTGTTTACTATTCTCGAGACCTTTAAAGCATCAACAAGAAAGTTTTTATAGGGTGTTAACTACTTTGCAGCCGAAGGTGGCGAAGCATTT